CTATATTCTGTTTCCTGCCTGTTATTCGGCTTCTTGCTTACAGCCTGCTATCCGTCTCCCTTCCTACTCTTCCTTCCATGCTTATCTGCATTGTCTCTATGTTCCAACTTCCATCACCTTTATTAACCTGGTTTCACCTGCTAAATGAGCACCTGTTATAAGTTTGGCCATCTACGATGTTAAGGAAAATTGGTGAATGCAAAGTTCATAAATTATGGCTTCTGGGAGTTATCACAGCCAGACTGTTAGACTCAGCTGACTACAGTGCTGCCTTAGTGAAAGTCAGCAGTGTGGATTAAGAATGTTAGTTGTGCCGGGCGCGGTGGCTCAAGCCTGTAATCCCAGCACTGTGCGAGGCCGAGGCGGGTGGATCACCAGGTCAAGAGATCGAGACCATCCTGGTCAACATGGTGAAACCCCGTCTCTACTAAAAATACAAAAAAAAATTAGCTGGGCATGGTGGTGCATGCCTGTAATCCCAGCTACTCGGGAGGCTGAGGCAGGAGAATTGCCTGAACCCAGGAGGTGGAGGTTGCGGTGAGCTGAGATCGCGCCATTGCACTCCAGCCTGGGTAACAAGAGTGAAACTCCGTCTCAAAAGAAAAAAAAAAAAAAAAGAATGTTAGTTGTGACAATGAAATGAAAGAAGCTTCTAGAGAGAGAAGTCCAGTGCCATCTTTAATTGTCCCAGAGATCCTCACGGTAGAGGGACAGTTGTAGAGTACTTTATAGTTTGTGATTTATAAAACACCTTAACTTTCATGATCTCATTTTTATCCTCAAAACACCTTTTTGAGGTTAGTTCTGTTATCCTTCTTTAAAGGCAACTGCATGGATCTGGGGCTTGAACACAGGCATGACTCAAAGTAGAATATTCTTTCTACATCATAATTTCTAAGCCAAAGTAAACACAAAACAGAGAACCAACAGACAACGACAGACAACAAAAGCAAAATTTGAGGTTCCCATTAACAGTGGCCCTACATAACCAAAGATTAAACATTTTAAACAAATACAGGGCAACATTTTCATTGACTGAGTACTAGCCTCTTCAAAGCAGTCACCTTAAAAGACTATGATTGTATTGCAGTAATGCTGTTGCTGTTTAAAATATTCTAAGGCTTGCCAGGCACAGTGGCTCATGCCTGTAATCCCAGCACTTTGGGAAGCCAAGGCAGGTGGATCACCTGAGGTCAGGAGTTCAAAACTAGACTGGCCAACATGGTGACACCCCGACTATATATATAAAAAAAAATTCTAAGGCTCTTCTTTTGAAATTTCCTTGTATATTTTTAAGAATATTCTTAACAAGGGCAAAGATTGAACCTTTAAGAAAAAGCTCTCATCTTTCAACATAACTGTTTTGAAAGAAAATCTCATTTGGGTATAAACATTCTGGCGTATTTGTTAAAACTCTTCTTATAATTAAAATTCTAAATGACAAATCTACTGTCAACACATCCTTCAGAAAACGTGTATGCCATTGATTCCTACTCTCGATGATAAATTAAACTTACTTTCAATAATACAAAATAATTTTCTTTATAAAATATAAAATGGTTTCTATGGGTTTTTCCATGTTGCTTTATTCCAAACACTGTCTAGACCTGGATATTCAATAGGAAAACTGAAGATAATCCTTAGATATGATAATGGAAGAAATCTCTCTTCTGCAATAACAAGAATAACTCTGATGTCAGATAAGAATTTACAATCAAGAGGCCTGGCAGGGTTCTGTTTCCAGATTTGCCACTAACAAGCAGTGGGAATTTGAGCAAGTTACCCATCCACTTGGGGCCTGCCAAATCAGAGATTGTCCTAGATGACACCAAGGTTCCCTCGAGCTCCAACCTTCTATAATCTCAGCCCTACCATTTCCAGAGTTAAAATGATTCTAGGCTCGTATAGGCAGTTTTATACTTTTAGATACTACAAACAGTCTCAGTTGCCAATTAAAATTTTATGTAAGAGAACAGGATTAAACATTCCTATAGGACATCTCTGAAGGCCTAGTTCAGTACCCTTTCACACTATTTGGAAACCTCTCAGAGGACTTTTGTTTGTACTTTTGAGGTGACAAAATTCATCATACCAGTCCTGCTAGATGGAATATTATTATCATTAAGAAATTATGGTTGCCATAATTAATGACGATGCTTCTTATAGTCAGAGGCCCAAGTGGTTAATTTCTTTCACCATAATATCATTTTTTTTTTGATTGACTAACTTAACTAGAAATCTTGTTTCTTAGCTTGCTGTGTGACAGGAGTTATTACTGGTGCTGGAGATATGGGAGTAAATTTAAAAAAAACAGTTCCTGCCTCTGCTGATTGCACATTTCAATGTATTTTTTTAGTTTAAGCTCCTCCAATATCTTTGTACAAAATGGGGTGAGAGAAGGAATAAGCAAATAAATAAATTTAAAAATAAGGAGTAGAAAAAATGAAGTATGGAGGGCCCAGGAACGGCACCTATCATGCACATAGAAATGACATGCCATTGTAAAATTTTCCTTTGAGAAGAGTAGTGGGATATGAATAGTAAAAAAGGATAAAAGCAGAAGGATTAGGCCATTCAGGTGATAGAAAAAAAGTGAGGGAGAGAGAATACTGGGAGAGATGAAGAGTAAATATAAAAGTGAATGGCATAGGGCAAAAAAATATGAAGAGGAAAAGAAAGAATGCAATCACAATTTTGTGAAACAACTCACAAAAGCCAATTTTTGGAGGGTAAATATGGTCTCATTAGTATTTGTAATTATCTCCTTTTCTTCGAGAGCTAGCACTTAGTAGTTTTCCAGTAAAATTTTATGAACAAATAGGTGGGTAAGTCATTGAACTTGCTTGAGAATTTGAGTAAGAAAGGATCCTATAAGACATGAAAGAGCACTGTACACTGGGAGAATACACGGGAGAAAGGTTGAATGAACTGGAAATGCACTTATTGCCGATGTAAGACATACACAAGAGGACATGTAACTTCTGCAAACACTGAAAGAGAATTAAATGATTACTGATTGGCTACTTTTCCTTTACTGAATTATTAGCAACATCCATTCCACTCATACTTAGACAACAATTCTGAATGAAATTTGTACACACGCACACCACCTGTGATGCATTTAAGTAATGCCATAAATTGCTCTAAAAGTTTACTTTTCTAACCTTGTTAGCTATTTTTATACATCTTTGCAGAGAAGTATATTAGAGGATCCTAGAGGCAGCAGACTTTACTGAAAGCTATGAGCTAAGAACTGGACATGATATGAATTTGTAGGCTTCTAAAAACTTTCAAGATAAAGCTGTTATTAGTAAACTCACATTTCATGACCAGAATCTGGCATTTCTGATGACAACTGTGTTTCTAAAAGGCAAATTTTTTGGTAGTATCATTTATATCACTCAAGAACATTGGTTTTTGAAAATATTCAGGTGTTACCTGCCAAGAGATAATATTTTATATTGTTATATTTCTTTTCAGAACCAAACCTGTCTCTTATCATGAACGAGCTCTCTTTTCAGATTGCAACTCAAGATGCAAATGTTCAGAGACAAAATGGGAACCCATGTGCGGTGAAAATGGAATCACATATGTATCAGCTTGTCTTGCTGGTTGTCAAACCTCCAACAGGAGTGGAAAAAATATCGTAAGAAATTGCCTCTAAAGAATATGGCCATGGTCTTGTTATAAGTAAATAACACAACTCTATGGGGGCTCACAGCAGACCACTACTAGCAGGAGGCTTGACTCTTACCTTTTTTTGTGTAGAAAATGTTATAACCATTCCTAGTGATACTTGAGTTGCTAAAAAAATTAGGGTGAGAATTACAGTCATGAAATAGGGTGGAAGAACTTTTGTAATTATGTAGTCAGTTCCTCTCCTTTTGCTTATAAGAAGTGTTAGCCCTGAATGGGAATGTCTATCATGTGATCATATAATAAGATATACTTTCAGATCCATGTCTTCTGACTCCAAGACCAGTGGTCATTTGAGGTTTTAGGAGATGGACAAATAGAAGTCAGTATTAGGAGGTTTAGTTCCAAAGATTCTAGACCTTAGGGTCAGAGACCTGATTACAAGGAGGTTGATGGTTCTAGGACAACTTTGCTTGGAAAATCCAGTCAATTTGTATTATAATAAGAGAGCAGATGGGCTGGAATCGAGGGTTTCTGTAGGGTGGAAGAGGGAGATGAGGTTGGAAATACAGGTAAAAAGCTGTTTTAGTCAGTCCAGGCTGCTATAATGAATACACCATAGAATGGGTGGCTTAAACAACAAACATTTACTTCCCATAGTTCTGGAAGCTGGGAAGTCCAAGATCAAGGTGCCAGCAGATCTGGTGCCTGGTGAGGACCTGCTATCTGGTTTGCAGATGGCCATCTTCACCTTCTATCCTCACATGGCAGAGAGCAAAGAGGGAGAACAGACTCTTTCTTATTTTTTGCTCTTCGTGACTGATGAAATTTACCTTTGACAATTCTACAAGGCAAATAATTAAACCACTCATACATTTCATTTATTTACATATGCTTATTAACTGGATATGAATGCTTAGGCTGTATATCCGCAGATATACAGCTATGTTTGTTGATTGACTCTGTTCATTGTATTATTATTTTGACTTATTTAGAGCAGAAAGGACTGGTTTCTAGCAACAATGAATAACACTGCCTACTCATCTGAAATACATTTTCACCAAGCTTCTCTTTTCCTCTTTTCTTTCCTTTCTTCCTTTGTTATTTTTCTTTCAGCTACTGTTATTTTTGCCCACAGCTGCATGAAGGTTTTTCTTAATGAGAGCTACCATTTATAAAAGACATTACAAGGAAGGGCTAAAGACTGGTGTTCTAAAAACAAACTTGCATTTAAACCTCATGGTCCTGAAATAATTTGTATTATTTTCAGTGTTTTCCTTAAGTGAAAGCTGAGGCACTGAGATACAAAGGACTTGCTTAACTCATTTGTCTAGTGAGCAGCCAGGATTAAGAATCAAAGATTTCAATTTGGCATTGCAAAAAATCTATATTACTACTTTTTCTAGAAAAGGAAATGCCAGCTTTATTTACTGTCTAAAAACTCACAAACTCTTCTGTGATTAAATATAGCATTGTATAAAGGCATTAATAAATAAAATTTGCAGAAACAAATTATCAAGGGTTTGTACAAACTGTCTCTCTTCAGTCAAAATTGAGTTTTATGCACCAGAATTATTTTTTTCTTATAGCCACCATAAATTCTGTCATATCCTCAATTTTGCCCATTTACTTAACTAAGCTTTATCAAATGCCTAAAATGAGAGCCTCTTCTATTCCCTGGTTGCATAATGATAGTAAAGCAAGCAGTTTCTTCTTTCATGGAGGTTACATTTTGTTGGGAAAGTATATTTTAAAAATAAGTAAATATATGATATTCTGATAGGTAGTAAGAAGCACTGTGAAAAAGACATGAATTAGAATAAAAGGATGAAGAGGTGGAAGTATTTTTTCTGAATGGGTAGTTGTAAAAGGTCTCTAATAAAATCTCTGAATAGACACCTTAAGTACGGATGCCAGCCGTATCATCACCTAAAAGAGCTGCCCGGGTAGAGAAAATAGCAGGGCCATGAGGCATGGATAAACTTGCCAGGTTTGAGAGGAGGTTTGGAAAGGGCAAAGTGCCCTTTTCAAGGGTCCTGTGTGTGGCTGACGCAAAAGGAGAGAGGGAAGATCACTGAATGGTGAGATTAGAGTGGCATCCAGGTGCTACATGATGGAAAAAGTGTAAACCGTTATAAGCATGTGGGGTTTCATGCAAGTATAATGAGAAACCATTGGCAGGTTGAGGGTAGTGATGTGATCTGACTGTCACGCTTAAAGGTCCACTTTGCTTACTGGATGGAAAACAGATTCTAGCTAGGTAAGAGCAAAAACAAGTTAAGAATAAAGGGAGCATTGTAACAATCTAGGCAAGAAATAATGGTTACTTAGAATTGAAAATGGTAGTGAAGAACATAAGGTATGGTTAGATTAGGTAGGATTTGCTGGAAGATTGCTGTATAAGATTAATACTTAGTAGACTGACCATCTGCTATTTAGATAATGAAATGCTGTTTCTGTATAGATTTTGCTTTGTTCAATATACTCTAATACGGAAAAGTAAAAGAATATTTCCTCATTGTTTATATAATGCATGGCTGCTATACTGTAAATTTTTTTTAAACAACTATCTTTAATTTTATTTAAATGTCACTGCAATAACTGGACTTTTCCCTATTGTGTTACAGATATTTTACAACTGCACTTGTGTGGGAATTGCGGCTTCTAAATCTGGAAATTCCTCAGGCATAGTTGGAAGATGTCAAAAAGACAATGGATGTCCCCAAATGTTTCTGTATTTTCTTGTAATTTCAGTCATCACATCCTATACTTTATCCCTAGGTGGCATACCTGGATACATATTACTTCTGAGGTGAGTACTGATTCTCCCCATTCCAATTTAATATAAGACATAATCATCTCAGGCAAGGATTTAAATATTTTTTTTTGTAGAATCATTATGATTCTTCTTAGTTTTTTCAGGGAGCTTGTCCCACATCCTTGTTTCACTTCTATATGTATCCCACTTGATATTTATACAAAAATGTGTCATAAAAGACATTTTCTTAGTTAAAAATGTTTGCAAACTATTGGACTAGAAAGCAATGTTAGTGCTTACGTTACCAGAGTTGCTTAATAGATAATAGTATGCTGCTTCTAATGCTGGTAATAATATTAATTAGCATAGATAACAAGCATTTTAGATTAAATATAGTTTCACTAGATCATGGGAAATACAATTTACAAGACATTTTAAAGGCTTATGTAATACTACAATATTATGCATTTATTATTTTGATTTTTTTTTGCTTTATCTGTGTATTTTTGCTATAACTAGAATTATCTGTGAGGGATTTCATGGCTTTTTGGTAAATGGAGGATGCTAATCCATGATGTTAATGACAGTTATTAGTCTGTTTTCACACTACTACCAAGAAATACCCAAGACGGGATAATTTATAAAGGAAAGAGGTTTAATTGACTCACAGTTCCGCATAGATGGAGAAGTCTCAGGAAACTTACAATAGTGGGGAAAGGGAAAACAAACAAGGCCTTCCTCGTAAGGCACAGGAGGGAGAAGTACAGAATGAAGCAAGAAGAGCCTCTTATAAAACCATCAGATCTTGTGAGAACTCACTGTCACAGAAACAGCATGGGGGAACCACACCCATGAGCCAATCACTTCCCAAAAGGTCCCTCTCCTACCATGTGGGGATTAAAATTCAGATTACAATTCAAGATGAGATTTGGGTGGGAACACACAGAACCAGACCATATCAATAACTTCAATCATTCCTGCTTATAAAACCCTAAAAAATTTTGTAAAATTATGTAGCCTCTTATTTATGTATAAATTGACACAGAAAAATTTTTATCATAAGTTTAAATAGTAACTATTGATTTCGGTATATTATAAATATTTTATTAAAAAATAACAGTTTTAAATGTACGTCACTTTCTAATGTAATTAATGGTATCTAAAAAGTAGTGATTTGATAACCAATATCACCTGGTTCAGATTTGCATAACAACTACTTTAACAGTGACAGGCATTACATATTTCCTTCTTCCTATATTTATATCTCATTCAACTTCCCTATAGGTTTTTCTTCTATTAAAATACAATTTATGTTAAAACATTTTTTACTGATTATCCTATCATACATCTGTAAAAATTATATGAATCCAAATGATAAAATAGTTTTGCAAATAGGAGTCTCAGTTATAATATTTTCATCCTAATTGAGTTAGCTTTAGCTTTGCCAATATTTCTATTGTGCTATTGATAAAAATCACCTCATAAAAAATTCGATAAAATTATTAAACATGAAAAGTCAATATTTACTAGAATTCAATATTGATGAGATGGACTCGGTGATTTTCAAATTAATTCAGGTATTCAAGGATAAATACTAATTTTTTTCTAAAGGCTAACCAAAGTATTGTACACATTTTTAATTTCCCACAATTTGTATAGTGGAAATTGTTTAGGAATGACAAACAGAAAACAGAACTTATTATCCACAAACCTGCTATTCTCCAAACAGCTTTCACCAAATCATGGGGAATACAACATGAAGAACATGAGATAGTTACATTTACAAATGGTAGCCTGAGTTTGGCAAAAGGGCAAAAAACTGTCTTACACTTTCCAGAATACTGTTCTACTTCTTCAACATCTTCTTATACTGTGCCAAGTGTAGAATCAGGTACTTACCACAGAAAGCATTTTCCAACCACTAGTCCTTCACATTAACTATTGTGAATTTTGATGTCAGAAGGACTCCTTTGGGTTGAAGAAGTCATGTTTTTGTTTTTGTTTTTCTCTTTTAAAGCAGAGACCAAATGATATAATATGTACAAAGTACTTAATACCATGGCTAACACTCCGTAGTCATTATATATTATCATGATTATTACTATTAAGATCCACAGGGAAATCACGTTAAGCTTTACAGTCATATTAATGACATTTGTTATTTAGGTGTTTTTGTACTTTTCTGATTGTTTCAAGTTCTCCCTCTTTAGCAGCAACTTTTAGCATGCCACAGTGATTACATCAACTGATGAATTTGGTCCTGTGCTTTTAGTCCAAAAGCCATAAAAATTGTAGGTTAATTCTTCATTTTTGCTTCAAATTCTAACAATTTTTTAGAAATTTGAGCTTTATCCCGAGTCTTTGCTATTTTGCTGGTTAAACTTAAATTTGACTTTACTAGCACCACATGAATATGGAATATATGGTAATTTAGTTTCTAGAAATATTAATTACAAACATGTAGCATTGCATGAAATGGAATATGTCTTTTACATATTTTGCCCTCCCTATGTTAGCACACCAATGGGTTCACCATAAATGTTACTTGAATTCTAACATGATTTCATGTGTGTTAGGCAGATTATCATTCAAATTTCTACTTGCTTTAATGAATGATATATTTCTTATAATGGTGCTTTTGTTGATTTTTAGGTGCATTAAGCCACAGCTTAAGTCTTTTGCCCTGGGTATCTACACATTAGCAATAAGAGTTCTTGGTAAGTATAATCTATGCTTTAATTTATGGCAGCCACCATAAATATATTTTGAAGACTTTTCTAAATATTTTGATAGAATTTCCAAGCATAAATATATGTTGTAGTGGTAAAGTTAATAGTCATTTCTTTATTTCTTCCCTCCTTTTCTTGACTCCTTTCTTCTTTTGATACAGAAATATTTATTGCCTAGTTTATGCCTCAGATATAACAAAGAGATTTTGTAATATTAATCATAATTTTTAACGATCATGTTTTCTAGCACTTGTGTGTTCTCACAAAATCTATAGCTTTTACAAGAGAGCTCTCGGAAAATAATCAGCAAGAAAGGTTGAAGCCTAAATATAACTTTTTCAGTTATTAAAATGGAAAGAATTCTTTTGAGCTACTCTCAATGTTTATCCCTTATGTCATTAGGTAGAAAGATAAGATACTATTTAAACCAAGAAAATACATTTCAGTAGGTCATTCTTTCAATTGTAATTAAAATGTTCTTTTCTCCCTACCAAATTTTTAAATGTATATTGGTTAAAATCCACAGAAAACAGTGAATGAAACAAAGTTTTTATCCTTAAAGAGTTTATATATTAAAGAATAACATAAAATAATTTTGAATATGCCACTGTCATTTGGTAGAAAGGAACAAAGCAGAAAGCAAAACAAACCCAAAGCTTAAACAATTTGAAATTAAATTTGGCTTACATAGATCTTGATGTAAACTGGTTGCATAGAAAAATAATAAAATCCTGATAAAATTGAAAAAGAAACAAAAATGTAGTTATATGACATCATGACTGGCTCTAATTCTACAATATGAAAATAGGTGTTATCTAGAAAAGTGTCATATATTGAGCCTGTAGTATATGCCTGGCAAGAATTGGCCTCCATATCTACCTGTCTTTGGGAATACAGACGGAACCTACAGAACAAAAACTGTTCCAACTAAAATAAATGATTTACAAAATTGATTTGACAAAAAAAATTTGAATTTGGCAAAATTACCATAAGCAAAGTCAAATGGCAAAAGATAAACTAGAAATGAGTTTTGCAATTTATGTAACAGACAACTGGCTAATATTCCCATTATAAAGAAAACTCCTGAATTTTGAGAAGAAAAAGACAAGCAACAAAGTAGAAAAATGAGTAAAAGATGTGAATTTTTCATGGAAAAATAAATGTAATTGCCTTTCAATATATAGAAATATGCTCAAGTTCTCTCATAAAAAGAGTCAAGCTAGAACAACATTTCTTATCAGGCTGACAAATTACCAAATTTTGTTTGCAATATATGCAAAAATAGATTATGCCTACACATCGCTGTTGGGAAAATGATGTTCTTTATTGGGCTTAACTGGTGAAACTATATATATATATAGATCTTTTAACCTAATATCTTTACTTCTAAGAATTATACCAAAAATTTGATGGCAAAAATTACAAAATAAATTTAATCATTATAAATAGGTGTAATAATGGTGACTTTTTATAATAGCAAAAACCTGGAAGTGATCTAAATGTCCATCAGTAGGAGACTGGTTGAATAAACTGTGGTACACCCGCCTAACAGAGCTGTAAGGATGAATGGGGAAAATCTCTATCTAATGTTATCAAGTGATCTCCAGTATATAGTATTAAGTAGAAAGAAGCAAAATGGAGAACAATTTTTATTGGATGATGTTTTTGATGTCAAGCATGTAAAGATGGAAATATTATACACATGTGCAAAGGCATTTTGCTCTTCTTAAAAAAAGAAACAATGGAAGCATAAACTAAAAACTAATTTTAAAAAAGGTTTACTTGTAGGAGAAGAAAGTTAAGAGATAAGAAAGTTCAGGATGAAAGTAAGACTTTGTAAATGTAACTACTTATATGATTGTTTAATCAAATTTATATAAGGTTTTTATATAACTGAAAACAAAATAACCAAATCTTAAACTGAAACTGTATATTGAATTGGTAACATAATCAAACATAAAAAAACTTAAATGCTGCAAAAAATAAAATTTACCAAATTCTCATAAACTACATTTATAGTCATTATTACTACTAATATCAATGTTTTTATGTTATAACTATTACAAATTTAAGACAAAGCAGTTGAAATGTTAAGATTACTTGAAATCAATATTTTTAGTAAAATAGAAAAGTGATACAAGTATAAAATAAAATAACTTAAAGCTCATTCTTAAATTTGAACTTAAAATATCAATATGAACTCACATATTTTTATTTTAAAATAATCTGTATTTCATAGTTCCATCTGCTGAAAAACCTAGAAACTATGAAACCCAGAAGAAATGAACACTACACTTAATCTGTGATATCTAAATATAATCTCTCAGGAAAAAAATATGGTACCTTGGAGAAATGACTGGTTCAAGGTCTAGGGTAGAAAATACATAAGATGACATGGGACATCTTTTTATGCAAGAAAGTGACTAAGCTATCAAAGGCTAAGAAGGATATATCAAGGGCACTGAACCAATTTGAGGAGATTGGCCTCAAGGTGAGATAAACTGAAACTCACAATAGTAGTAGCTGTAATAACAATAATGGTTGCAGTTTATTGAAATATATACAATATATTTAAAAAACATGAGTTCACAATGATACTTAAAAATTTTGGAGACTATCAGGACATCAAGTCATTATTCTGAAAACTGAGAAACAAAGGAGAAAAAAGAAATCACTTATCCTGCCTTTCTTCTACTAACTATATGTCAAAGTAACCAAATTAGTCAATTAGGGAAAATTCCTTTTTAGAGAAAAACACAAATAGTTTCTATAAGAAGTATAGATTTTTTTTAAATTCCTGTCTTGTAGTCTTAAAAATCGCTAAAAGCTTTAGATAAAAGTTGATGAGTAACTTCGTATCGGGGGGACCAGACTGGCATAGCCTGAACTTCACATCCGTCTTAGCATTACTGAGTGGCAACTAGGGAGCATGTGCCTTCTAATTGAACCTGAATCTAATAAAATCTAACTATCAGATTCTAGAAAAATGGAAGATAGGAGAATAAATTTAATCATATTATAAAGAAGCAATTAAACAAATCCAGACTGTGGCATATCTTATAGGAGTTGGTGGTGTCTTTTTTCAAAAATCATTAGTAAGAAAACGAAGTGAAGAGAGGATACTGCCATAAAGAGTCATCAACTAAATACGAAGTGTTTATTTGGTTTGAATCCTTATAAGAACAAACGAACTAAAAAAATCCTCAGTGACAATCCAAAAGCTTGAATATGTACTATATTTTAAATAAAATTAAGAAATTATTGTAAAATGTGTTAGATGTGAGAATGGCATAGCGGTCATGTTTTTAAAAGATGTTATTATAATTGAAATGACATGGTGTCTGTGATTGCTTTTAAAATATTAAAATAAGAATTCAGGCCGGGCACAGCTGCTCATGCCTATAATCCCAGCACTTTTGGGAGGCTGAAGTGGATGGAACACTTGAGGCCAGGAGTTCAAGACTAGCCTGGCTGTAATATAGCTAAACCCCATCTCCACTAAAAATACAAAAATTAGCATGGCATGGTGTCACACACTTCTGGTCCCAGATACTCAGGGAGGCTGAGTCACAAGAATTGCTTGAACCCAGGAGGCAGAGGATGCAGTGAGCTCAGATTGTGCCACTGCACTCTAGCCTGGATGACAAAGGGAAACTTTGTCTCAAAAGAAAAGAGTTCAGAGTGGAAAGAGAGATGAAACAGCAATGGCAAAACATTAATAATTATCAAGGCTATGATGGTATATGAGGATTAATTATTTCATTCTCTCTGCTTTTGTGAATCTTTGAAAATTTTCTATTATAATAATCTTAAATCATGTACAGAAAATTGCAAACATTTGAATTTTTTGGCTTGTCTTCATATCATTAAAGGTAATGTAAAATTGGTTATCACCTGCATTTTTTAAGTGGTAAATCATATATTTGGTTGGTTCTTGAGGTAACAAATAATCCAAATTGAGTGGTAGATAAATTTTCTGCTCTTCTGGTTCATGGGGTTTTATGAAAAATAGAATCAATTAGTTATTCTTATAACAATTTGTTATTTAAAAATGTAAACTTATACAAAGATAGCAAGAACTTGCTTTGTACATAGCAAAGACAGCAATGAACTCCAATTGATCCATACCCAATTTCAATAATTATCAACACACACCTCATCTTAGGACATCTGCGTCTCTAACCATCTACCCCTACTAGCTTATTTTGAAGTAAGTCTCAGACTGCTGCATTTCTTCCATAACATGTTTGGTGTGTTCTAATCAAAACCATAATGACTTATTTTAATCTGGTGAATCTTGCATCTTAAAAAATTACTTCTTAATATTAGCAAATACCCAATTGCTGCTCAAATTCTTTAAATTATCTGATGTTTCCTTACACATATATGTTGAATCAAGAACCAAACAAGGTTCACACATTGCATTTAGGTGATATACCTCTAAAATCTCTTTTTATCTATAGGTTTCACTTTCCTCTTTCTTTTTCTTCCATTTGTTGTGAAAATTTCAAACTTACAAAAAAATTTTAATTACAATGAATTGTATAACTTTTACTGGGATTTATCAACTGTGTCCAAAAACCAGAAATCCCTCTCCTCTGTTTCTCTAAGCATACATAGGTTTTGCTGAATCATTTGAAAATAAGAAGTGAACATGCTGACACCCTCACTCCTAAAGACTTCAACTTGTATTTTTCTACAAGAGCAAGTCTATCGTCCTATATAACCACAGTGCCATTCTCATGCTTCAGAAATTCAACATTGATATGCTACTCTAATATAATTCCGCATTTCATTTTCTTTTATTAAAACAATAGTGTCTTCTATAGTGTTTTATTTTCTATTTTCATCTAAAGTCAATCAAAGACCACTTATTGCATTTAGTTATCTTTTTTATCTCTAAAACTTTCTCGTTTTTACTTTTTTGTTCTTTTGCAACATTTATATTTTTTCAAGAGGCAAAACCAGTTGTTTTGTAAAATATCCCACCATTTGGATATGTTTGTTTGCTTTATAACCAGGTAAAAATTATTGCTGGCAATATTACACAGGGGATTTGCATGATAATTAGTGAATCACATCAGGAAGCACATGAACTCAATTTATACCATCATTGGAATTTTAATTTTGGTCTCTTGGTGAAGGTGATGTGCACCAGCTTTCTTCATTGTAAAAAAAATCCTTCTTCAGTTAATAAGTCATCTATAATTTGACACTTCGATGTTATGTCACCATTCTGTTCCCCAAAAGTCTTTCACCAAAAATTTTGGTACCCATAGATGAGTCTGGATTGAATCAATTATTTACATGAGTATTTGCAAAGCTTTGGTAAACCTTAACATAGAAAATATTTTTAAATATTTTCATTTGTTATCAAATAACACATGGATAATCTCTGAAATTCAGAAGTATCATAAATATTCTTAGATTACTTTAAAAATTTAGTGAGATTATTTTGTTCAATATAATCATAGAAAGCAATTTTATAATAGAAGAAAACATATATCAAAAAAGTTAAAACTCAAATGCCAGAAACAATAGGCAGTTGATGGAAATGAGTGACACAGGTAGAGAGAAAGCTGTAAGGGCTCACAGTGGACTCCAAGTGTAGGCAGAAGGTGGGGAGTGAGGCATGGAGGCAGCTGCAGCTCAACTCCAGCCAACTATGACCATGGACTGCCAGACAACACAATACTTAAGAGAACTCAGAAGTGTGCAGGTTTACATGAAATCTCCTAGCTTTCAAATACTGGCTACTAACTAAAAAACAAAGAAAAGCCTACACAGGCTAAATGACAGATGTTAATGAACCGTCAATTTAGAACATATAAAATATAAACTGAGTTGTGAACAACTGCTTAAGATACTTTCATTAATATTTGTACAAGAGAGACATCTTTTCTCCCTCAGGAGGGATTAAATTCCTAACATTTTCTGAGAACCTACTAGGGTTTATAGCATGAATAAGGAAGACATGTTTCCTACCATAGTGAGCTTACAGTCTAGCAGAGAAGGCAATTCAACAAATTATTACAGGAGTATTAAGAGTTTTAAGAGATGTAAAACAAGAGTTAATCCAGTTTAGTTCATCAAAATAGCCTACTCTGAAGGAAAAATGTTCCACATGAGATTCTAAAAGTGAGTGCGTTATTAAGAAGGTGAAGAAGAGAAAAGTATTAGTTGGTATAAAGGAAACTATACAAGGCATTCAGGCAAGAGGGGAGAATATTTTAGTCGCTGAAAGAAAAACAAGAAAATTGGAGTCTGAAGCACAAGACAACAATCTTGCCCAAAGTGTGGCCACAAAAGTAGAAGGGACTCAATGTCCAGTTAACTACTCTTGTTTTGGAACAGATGTCTTGGAAAGTCATCTACTTAATTCAGTGATGCAACCTCTGTATGACGGATAGATTGGAGAGGGTTAATGAGAGGAATCATGAACTGGCTGTTGTTTTACGTTAGGGTGGAAGGAGTGGCAGTGGGAATAGAAAGAACAGAAGTGTTTAAGACATACCTAGTGAGCAGAATTGGTATGATTCAGGGATAGATTAAATATAGTGATGACCAGACAGAGGAGAGAAAGAAGGATCAACAATGACTCCAAAGTCTGATTTAGTGGCTGGGCGGCCAGTGCTAAAGGGACAGGTCTGCAGGGGAAGAAGCTGAGCTCATGTTGAGTTTGAAGTGCCTGAGTGACATGCTTCCGGAGATAAATAAATGGTAGTTACTGCATGATTCTATGAGAAATGGCTGAATTAGAGAGACAGGTTTTGGAGATTTCAGTATGTAATAGATGACCTTTCATCTCCAAAACAGTAATTAGACTAAAGTAGGTGGTTTCAGATAATTGTTCATAGCCAAAAAGATGTGCATATGTTTTTAACAGCAATTATTTGTTTTTTCTCACAGCAGGAATCCCAGCTCCAGTATATTTTGGAGTTTTGATTGATACTTCATGCCTCAAATGGGGATTTAAAAGATGTGGAAGTAGAGGATCATGCAGATTATATGATTCAAATGTCTTCAGGTACCAAATCAAAAGCATTCCTGCTTCTCATTGCTACAGCATCCCAGATTTACACAATGCCACTGACACTAACAAGTTTTCATATCATTTCACTGCTTGTAAGGTAAAGAATAGTCTAATCAAAAAGTGTGATCTGTAATCCTAGAATAATTCTATTATTTTATTAGATCTTTGGTTTTGTCCCTGTTCATTACCTTGACTCCCATTTTAAATGAGTAATCATTTAAAAAATATGACAAAAGTGTCCAGAAAATAACTTTGAGTTTACGCACACAAATGGGCAAGTATTTCCCTGAAATTCAGAAGCATTTAAATTTAGGTCACATTTTGGGTTTAATTATCTTCTTTTTCAAACTGAGCCAAACTGTACCATTTACGTCAGATATAATCCCCCTGGGCAAGAGTTGGATTTGGCTCTAAATCTGTCTTTTATTGCCAAACTGATGTTCAATTATTCCTGTACTTGAAATGCATAAAAGTAAAAGGTTTTCTCTGTGTGGGTGAGTGTAGATGGGGGTTGGGTGGCATGGCCTTTTCACTATGGTATCATTCAGTTCAGCTCATCAAACATTTAGTCCTTTATTGCCTAAAGCAATGCTTCATTGGCTTAAAAACAAGAAAGATTTGTTAAAAGACTTAGAAGCTGAGCATTTTCTAGAGAAATAAACTTGGTGCTGAACCATCTAAGTTGGATGTGAACTGAGCACACCATCTCAAACAAATTTGAGTTAATAGGTTTTGATGCTCTGTGTGAAATTTATTTTGGTCTTTGAAAGGGACCAAATCTGTAAGTATAATTTAGGATTTACTCACACTTTTGCTATGGCTGTATTAACTGTAATGTAGAGACAATGTAACTCAATCAGAGATTGAGAGTATGTTTTCAAGATAACCAGAATGAGGTATTCAACCTGTCCTTCCAAACCTTAGCATCTTTCAACGAAGCATAGAACTACAGGCTTCTCATGAAATAAATTGATTTAAATCTCTGGTTTATTCTGAAATCATTCTGCTTTACTGAGAGCTCCAATTCCCCTTAGCATTGCTTTATGCAAGTTTTCCAAAGAAATGAGTTTGGGAAACGTCTGAGGATAGGGTAGCCACATAATTTATCATTCAAAACTGGGTTCTTTTGAGTGTGAAAAGGAGCACTATTAAAATTACACTGGACCAACACTAGCATAAACTGGGGCTGTTCTAGGCAAACGGGGATATGGATACCTGATAAAGGGAATAATTTACAGAGAGGAAGAAACTGATTATGTAATTAGTCGTAACTGAAAATGATGGTGCTACTAAGACATTGCTTTATTTTAAAAAAATACTGTCAGCATTCATAAAATAGCCTTATATATAAGCTACCAAATGTGCGTTCTTAAAGAAAACCATCAGAATGATATTATTAGCTACCTTTTTAAATTTTATTTCAAGTTGGGTAGTTGCAATAATTATAACAGAGATTCTCTCTTCTTTTAGACACATATATCTGGGACTAACTGTGATACTGGGCACAGTGTCAATTTTCCTAAGTATTGCAGTAATTTTCATTTTAAAGAAAAATTATGTTTCAAAACACAGAAGCTTCACAAACAAGAGAGAAAGAACAACGGCGTCTACAAGATTCCAAAAGGAAAATTACACCACAAGTGATCATCTGCTACAACCCAACCACTGGCCAGGCAAGGAAACCCAACTTTAGAAAAATGATGACTGGAAGTCATGTTATCTAATTGGTGGAAATTTTGTAAACAAATAAATTTTAATCAAAAGTGCTCTAAATTTGTAATTTCTTTCTCCCTCTAAAAAATAACTACTTTGTTTCTGGCCCTAGGCATTAGATAATATAACTAATAACAAATATAATGAAACATATAACAGAAGATGTAGATGATAAAACTAATTTTGAACTTTTTAATTTATATAAAAATTTCTTATATCATTTACTCATTTCACTTTATTTTTCCCTGTGCTCATTTTATACACTGTATCCCTAGAAGAACAATGTCTCTATTGTCACACATGGTTATATTTAAAGTTATTTATGACCTGTGTAATGTGTCTAGGGTAAGAAAATACTGCTAAAAAGTAACTCATACCTTGGGCTCCTTCAAGTATAACTCCTATAGTATTTTCTCTCTTGTTGTCTTTATCTGTGTATTTTAATAATGATCTTAGGATGGGGCAGAACATGGAGAGGAAGATTTCATTTTAAGCTCCTCCTTTTCTTTGAAATACAGTAATTTATATAGAAATGTGTAGAGGCAAATTATATTGGGGATTAGAATTTTGAATTATTAGCTTTTCTACTATACATTTACGTGTGCTTTTTGTGTGGCGCTGTAAGTGACTATGGTTGTAAAGTAATAAAATTGATGTTAACATGCCTTATTATTCTTTTATGAATTAAATGAATTTTAAAATATTGTTAAATATAATACTGCTCCTGCTTCAATATATGTAAGCAGCTTCCTACTTATATACATGATATGTTCCTAAAACATGTTTGAAAGGTGAATTTCTGAAAGTCTACAATAAATGCAGGTGTTGGAAAAGGAATGGAGAGTGATGGATGAGTGATGGGAAGTCTGGGTGTAGTACCTTTTGGTGCTCCACTTGCCCACATCAAAGGGCTTAGGGACTCCTGAGCAGGGCATTGCCACTGGGACAGGCTGCCAGATAGCTCTGTTTCTCTGCAACTGAAAAAGTCAAGCCAAGAGTTTCCTCTTTCCTAACTTCCTAGTGCTCCTCTAACAGGGGTTGTTAGGTTCAGCAGTCCAACATCTTTCATCTTTAGCTCTATTACATGCTATGTTTCTTCCTCCACCATAGCTGTAAAGAAAGGCTTAATCCTTTCAAGAAAAGCAGACTTAAGACAGAGATTACACTAGTGAGGCATCCTATTCAGCTACTGCTGGCTCACCATCCAATTCTGTCTGCATTCTGTTAGTCTAGTACAATCCAGAGAAGACTAGATGAAAGGAAAACTTGGGTTAGAAAAGATAACCTGAAGGAAATTCCCATTTAAGTAAGGCCACAGAGTCCATCAAATGCACAGAAGGAGGACACTTACTTACTCAGGAAATTTTCAAGGTTACAATAGGGACCCATAATTCTACTATGTATCAGCCACTCTAAAAATTGTATTACTTAATCTGTATAGCACTCTTAGTATCTGAATGATCACTTTACAGATGAAACTGAGGCAGAGAGAGGTTAGATACACTGCTTAACCTTGGAGGGACACAGAAAGAATTAAACCAAGATTTAAATCTAAAGTTATCTTTCCACCAGACCAACATGACCCTATAAAGTTACACTAAATAAACTGCTACTATGATTTGTAATGTCTCTATATTACTTTATTTCACTGGATCAGTTTGCTCCTATAATTGTCTTCATCAGTGTATTTCAAACCATCCATATCATCAACGTCTATAAACCACACAAATAATTTAGCATATTGTTTTTTCAAATGTTGTTAATTTATATTTTGAAATACTGTAGGGCTAACAAAGAAACTCAAAACATTTAAGTCGGATGATAAAGGATAATAATCCTTTAGAATTATGGAAACTTGGAATCGCAACACAGTTTTTGATAGCCTTTAGAACAATCAGCGCACATCAACAGGACACTCCCAATACAGAAGTCTGTTTGAGGCATTTCTTGAAGCCTAAACCCAACTAGAAAGCCAACCTCAAAAATATGGTGACCTCATTAATGTTGCCCCATTATGCTGCCTTTGAATTCCTGAGCTCAAGCAATCCACCTGCTTCAGCCTCCCGAGTAGCTAAAACTACAGGTGCAAGCCACTGCATCTTGAGGTGAAGTGATCAAACCAAACTCTTGTGTATTCTTTAAATTTTCCCTTTATATATCAATCTTGCAAATGTAAGTCGGAAGAAAAGGAGATGAAAAATTTGGAATTGGAGAAAGAAGGAAATGCTCTCTAAATACATATTAACCTTCTCAATTTATTTGAACTGGTGATGCTTGATTGTTTTATATTTTGCTATTTTTGAAAATAAAAAAACATTTTAATTTTTATTTCCAGTTTTATTTTCAGCAGGCCTACTTCAGACCTGCTACTGCCCTGCTAGCTTGTGAGCAAGAATCCTTTTTGTCATCCCTGTATGAATCTTACCCATAACAAATATTTACTGAATGAGTGAGTACACTTGTCAAGAGTTTTCTTCGTAGAGATATAATTAAACATCAAATTTTTCATCTTGCCTTTGACATCATCATTATTTTTCAAGGCTTTTTGTCACAATACCTTGAAAAATAACTTCTTTGCAAGTAAATTTCCAAACAGAATAGTTTCCAATTTATTCTCAAATAACTTGAAAAATACAAAATAGCACAAAGGATGATTAAATGATGATCTTTTTTATGAAAGAACTGAAGGTCAATTTAAAGGAAGCATATTTTTTATGCATAACCATTAATTTTACAGAGGAATTACACATATTAAACTCAGCTGTATAACAAATGAGGTTATCATTTAGTGGGAAATTAAATTTCCTAAGAGGAACCCTCATATTTTAGACAAGTAAACTCATCTGACAGCAGTAAGCAGAGATTTTATGCCTCAGAAAGCATGATTGGTTTTTTTTCAACAAACCAAACTCTATTTCAGAAGTCAAAGAAATTCCCTAGTTCCAAGACCAAACTTTGAGGTACAGCTGTGATTGATGTGTAGCATCCCACAATCGCTCCAAGTTAAATGGGAAACGTTATTCTCTTATTCTGCAGCCATGGCCCCTAGAGGTGACCAGCATCCCCAATGAACATCTGATTCACTAGAACCTTCAGTCAGGTAAAGCTACAGCAATGTCATTTTGTAGGTTGGGTGACTTAAATTGGATTAATTGAATTGCCCAAAGACGGTGTGTCAATTAAACTACCCAATTGTTTAATTTTTTGTTTAATTTTGTTACTTTCTTTCTTCTATTCTCTTTAGACATTTTTAAAAATATTTTCCTTAATTATTGGTTTGTAGGCTTGTAACTGTACTCTCTCGTTTAGTAATTCAAACATTAATGTGATGCCTTGTACAACTTTATGATTCCTAAGGTTGGTCATGCTGTAGCATCAGTAATGTTTCTCTAATTGTTTACAAATGCATTCTTGATTTTCTATTTGACTCAAAATTTCTATTTACTCTAGAAGGAGAATATTTAAAATTTTTCTTGTGTTTGAATATTTTAATTTAAATTTGTCTTTCAAAATCATCAATTTGTAAAAATGTTTTAAATTTTGAAGAAAAACATATTCTCTTATCATAGAGGAAAATAATGGAAATATATTTATTAGATCAAACTAATTAATTATATTATTTATATATTTAGGTACTTATATTTTTTTTTTCTCTCAAGGCTTCAGAGTAGTAATATGCTAAAATTTTCCAATATAATTGAGATTTTGTGAATTGCTTCCATTAAAAAGTTATTTTTATTTGTAGAATTTACTGCTATATCTTATAACTATCACATTATTATTATATAAAGATTTGATTTTAAAAACTGTTGCTATTCTTAATTTTTTTTAATTCTATTTTAATATTAATATTGCCATATCTGCTATTTTATTGACTGATGTATCTTTGGCCATCCCTTTACTTTTTAAATTCTTCTGCGTTTTGTTTATGGTTAGTTATTTTTTAACAGCAAGAAACTGGACTTTATTTTTACTTACTAAAATCTTGTCTAGCATTAAAGAAGTTTAACTGTCATAGCTGATGTTTGCCTTTACTTCTGTTTTATTGTTTATTACATTTTAAAAAATGTTTCCTTATGGTTTTCCTTTTATTCTTTCGTATGCTAAATTACCATATTTTTACTTTTAATTTTTTTGCCAGAAATATGGAATTATTTTAGCAAACTGAAAATTATTTTGTAATTAATGATTCACAAATTACAAAAATATACCTTAACGATAATCATCTCTACTTAGAAATACCAAGAATTGAATAACAAATACTGTTTACCGATTCCCTTTGTATAAGTCTTAAATATTTTTACTTCCTGTCTCCTTTTTTACCCACAATGCCAAGTTTTTTGCTAACATAATCAATAATTTAAGAACTAGATTATTAGTAAATTATTTCTACTTTATATGTCTTCTATTTGCTATATAAAGAAATCTACAAAGAATATTTTATGCATTTATATTTTTTTCCTATCTTCATTTATTTATTTAAAATAGATTACTGGAGATAATGTTTCAAACATATTGACCAATAGCATTCAAGAAAGGAAAGGTAATAGAGTATAACACAAATAACATTTAAAAGATTAGCTTTTCCTAAATGTTCAGAAATTATCTATTTATAAGTTAAAAACAGCATTTCAGTTTTTTGGTTTTCATGTATTTGCAATAAAAATACATGAAATTGTGTATTTTCATAAATACACAATTTGTGAATAGTGAGTTTGAACTTCTATTAGTGCACTGGTCATATCTCTTCTTATATGAATAATTTCACAGCCCTTTAAAATATTTGTATTTTGGTCGTTACCAATGATATTAGCCTTTGGCAGGTCCCATATATCATAATTAAGTTTTCTAAGTTGAAGGCTTTTTTTTTTTTTTTTTTTTTTTGAGTTTCTTTCTTGTTACCCAGGCTGGAGTGCAATGGTGCAATCTTGGCTCGCCGCAACCTCCACCTCCTGGGTTCAAGCAATTCTCCTACCTCAGCCTCCTGAGTAGCTGAGACTACAGGCATGCGCCATCATGCCTAGCTAATTTTTTTTGGTATTTTTAGTAGAGACGGGGTTTCACCTTGTTGACCAGGATGGTCTCAATCTCTTGACCTTGTGATCTACCCGCCTCAGCCTCCCAAAGTGCTGGGATTACAGGCATGAGCCACTGTGCCCAGCCTTAATTTAAAATTTTATTTCATGCAACTTTGATTCACACTTTTTAAAAATGTTCATGTAATTTTCTATCTCCTTTCTCAACAGATTTTATACTTGCATGTGTGCTTAAAATTGTTTTCTTAAGATGGATAACTATCTACATGTATCTACATTTTATAATATAATTTCTAAAATTAAGATGTTTAATACACAAGGATTTATTTCAATGTACTATTTTGAAATTTAAAAAAATATTATTTTGACGATAGGCCACTTGTCTTAGTTCTGATTATTGAAAAATCTGTGTTTTCTATGTTTAAGAAGTCCTATATTACGGGTGTTTGTAGACTTTCTAGTCTCATCAATATGCCTATTTCTGACCGTGATTATACCTCATAAGAATTACATATGTAAATTATAAAAATACATTTTAATTTCTGGCAGGTAGTATCCTCCTTTGAATGATTCAAAAGTTTCTTAAATATTTTCATTCATATTTATTTCTTCTGGATACCTTCAAGATTATTTTTTCAGGTTCTAATGGTACGCAGGTTAGGCATGGTTGTTCATGTCTGTAATTCTCACATTTCTCAAGGCTGAGGTGGGAGGATCAATCACATAAGGCCAGGAGTTTGAGGTAACAGTGAATTATAATCATTCTACTGTACTCTACCCTGGGCAACAGAGCAGAACACTGTCTCTTTTAAAAAAAGTTTCCAATTGAGACTATTAATCTCATTGAACTAACCTGAAAAATGTGTATATTTTCATAATATCATAACATTTAATACAGGGACAAGATACACATTTCCATTTGTTAATATTTTTGTGTGGTTCTCAGTAAAATGTAATATTTCTTATTAAGTTTACTTCCAGTCTCTAATATTCATGTTGTTATTATGATTTGGAATGTTTTATTCTATTTTATTTTCTAAAAGGTGATTTAGGACTTTTATTTTACATGTAAAAAAGATTTAATAAAGTTATTAGTTGTTTTATGTTTATAATATAAAGTACTTCTTAAACATACTCTGTTATTAGTTTTGTAATTTGTTCAGTTGTTTCTCTAGGTGTTTCTGGCTGGGAAGATAATCATAATATTTGCAAAAGAGTATTTTAACTCTTCCTTTTCGAAGTTGGTACTTTGTATATATTTTTTTCCTCTGTGAGAAAACTCAGTGATATTTCTATATATATCTTATATCTAAATGAAACCCTGCTTATAATATGCTCCTACTCAAAAGTATTTAATATTCTCCCATCAATTTCAGGAAATTGCAAAATTCCTTGGTAAAATCAGGATGTGATTCCTGACAACCTGTTCAGCTCCATCTCCTACTATATCCCTACCTCAAAGTCGAAACTCAGGTCCCCTGGCTACATTGTATTACATACAGTGGCTTTACCTGCTACTATCTCTGCCTAGAAAACACTTTTCTCCTTTTTCCTCTTTTCTTCAAACTTTATTTTGTATACGAAT